CGCTCCCGTGCATCCGCAGTGTGAGACATTGGGAGGTGTTAACGAGTGCATCACTCGTGGTTGGTGTCTCCATGTTCCCCCATGGAGCCCTGCACCGCTATGGCATGGCCCAGGGATGCTCCGGGGGGCAGTGGGGCAGCTCCCTGCAGGCAGCAAATCACAAGGAGAGCAAATGCCTGCCCCTGAAATTGTCACTGCTGCTGTAACCCATGGCAATGGAACATGGAAAGTGATTTGCCCTCTCTGTGGCAATGGGTCAGGCAGCCCTAGGCATGGAGTCATGGCTTCTTGTTGTTCCCCAGCAGGGTGGCTCTTGGCATCACCCCAAGGCTGTTGATACCCCAGGCCTTGCAGAGAGCTGCAGGCAGCCTGGCACAGATACCTTTGCATCACGCTGAGGGGCTTCTGCCAGCTCCTGCCTGCAGCTATGGGGCTGTGTGGAGCAGGGTCTGCTGCAGAGCACATCCCCTCTCTGCTACCTGCCTGCACACACAGAAGCATTCCAGATGCCAAGCACAGCGACTTGGCTTAGCTTCTGCCCATCCCCCAGGCGACACAAGCTGACCACAAAGTTCCGTCTCCTGGCAGCGGGTGGTGAAGGGCTGGAGCAGGATGCCAACACTCAGCCCATAAAAGATGCTTTTTGCCTGCCCTGTGGCTCTAGGAAGATGTGTGGCTGTGCAGACAGGGCTCCCCCCAGTCTCACCTCCTCCTACCTTGTCACAGAGCAGCCTGTTGATTTGCAGCATTCAAGTCTGTGTCCCTGCTGATGTCCCTGGCCCCAGGGCTGGCAAGTGCCTCCCTGGAGCAGAAGCAGGAGGGTGTTAAGAGGGGTGGGAAGGGATGATGGAGGTGGTGGTGGGAGCCCAGTCCAGGACTGCTGGCACATGATTTTTGTTATTCTTCCTCTTGGTATGTCTGCCTCCATCCCTCGTCTCCCTCCTTCTGTCCCTCCCTTCCTTCCTTCTTACCCCTCCCTCTCTCTGCAGTGCCTGTCTCAGTGTCCCGTACCTTCGCCTTCAGCAGAGGGGACTCACTGGCTGGCTCTCCAGGTAACGGTGCATGGCTTTGGGCAGGGACTCTGCATGTGCCAGGCTCTTTCCAGCTCCCAGCACATGGCACACCAAGGCCCCTCCACCCTGCATGTGGGGCAGCGCAGGCAGAGGAGTACCCATGGCACCCCACGCTGGGCAGCCCCTCACTGGTTGGGACACAGATGGCAGACTGGGGACAGCAGCCCTGCTGCAACCTTCCCAGTATGATGCAAACCCCAGGAAGAATGGGATGGAGACAAGGGGGAGCCATAAACAGCTTGGGCTTTCCTTGGTGTGCAGTTTCTGTAATTTCCTGAAGCCAGTGTTTAGGTTTTCTTGCTACTTGCTGCTTCTGATGACAACTGCCCACAGCCCTGCATGCACACTTCCCTGCTTCCCTTGCCTTCTAGCAATCCGAGTAATAGAAGGGTGTTTTAGCAGCAGAGCAAAGTCAGCAAGTTGATATCACCCGTGCAAGGAACAAGCTGCCTTTTTTCCCTAAGAAATCACTGACCAGACAAAATCTATCACACCCCATGTCAGAGGCCATCAGTCAACACAAGGGATGGGCCAGCTTGCCATGGCAGCCTCTGCTCCTGTTCTTCCAGGGTGAAGAGGAGCATGCCCTTGAGGCAGGTTAAGCAACCCCTGAGGGCTGCCAGCTGCAACCAGAATTTGTGCCAAATGTCATGCAGAAGGCCTGTGTTAGCAGGAGAGCTGTCAGTTGGTGTGACAGGCAGGCAGGCAGCAGTTGACGTGGAGGCGGGCAGCAGCTCTACCCTCGCCTGCCGATGCCAGGTTGGATACCTGCCTGCCCTGGTCCCATTGGTTTGTGCATGGCTGGCATGGCAGTCTCCACCACCAGCATGCACTGAGGAGGATCCTACCAGAGGTCCCCCATATTGCCTCTGCCAGTCCCGGTGTCCGTGGGGCATAGCTACCAGACGTGACAGGCCCACCCTGGCCCTGCGCTGGCACTGGGGACCCAAGCAGCACCATGCGTGAGAAGTGAGTGTTTGCCTCTCTGCCATTCCCTCCCACAGTGAACAGGTCACCATCACGGTGCAGCGGGCTCAACCGCTCCGAGTCCCCCAACTGGGAGCACAATGACTATGGGGGCAGCAACACACAGCTCCACAGCAGCAGCAACAATATCTACACACCCGACTACTCTGTGCACATCCTCTGCGATGTGCAGTTTGTCAAGGTACAGGCTGGGCTAGCAGGGACTGTCCTGTCCTGGGCACCCCTTACCAGGCACCTGCTTGTTCCACTGTGTCCTGGGAGCCTGGTGGGTGCCCAGTGGGTGCTGCGGAGTCCCACATGCCTGCCCTCCGGGCGTTTGGTGCCACCAGGTCCCCAGGAGGTCCTGGTGGACCCACTGAGCTGGGTGCATGTTTGTCTGCACAGGTCACCCGGCAGCAGTACCACAATGCGCTGGTGGCCAGCCGCATGGACAGCTCACCCCAGTCCCCTGACATGGAGGCCTTCGACAGGGATTCAACCAAGGCATCGACCCTGCGGGGAACCCCACAGACACCCAAGGAGGACCCCACCACCCTCCTGAATGAGAAGAACAGCGTCACGTGTGAGTCACCAAGCAGCATCCCTTCCCTGCCATGAGCCCAGGCTGCATGTCCCCTGGGGGGACCGTGCTGGGACCTGCTGGCATGATGGGCACACCACTGCTGAGACACAGTTGCACATGGCCTGGGGCATAGGTGCAAGTGTGCAGGCATGTAATTCCTCATCTCTGTGTGCTCGTGTTCCCTGAGTGTCTCTGGCACTGGGGCCTGCTGTGGCTGGCATCCTGCTGCATCCTGCACCAGAGCACAGCACCTCCCTGCCCTGCGTCCCTGCAGGCAACCGCTCTGAAGGACTGCACAGTCCCAGCGAGTCGGTGTTCCTGCGCATGGAGAGCATCCCCTTCATCCAGGAGGAGACGGCTGACAATGAGGAGAACAGCAAGCATCAGAGTGAGTCTGGCTGGGGGACATGCACACAGCACCCTGGGGGTGGTGAGGGCTGTGGTGCCCCGGGGTGCTGCAACCACACTGGGATTTTGCAGACAGTGAGCGCTGTGGCACTGTCCTGGAGCCAGAGTCCCCGGGCAGAGAGGTGGAGACCAGCTCAACACCAAGCAGCAATGAGGAGACACTGGGCAGGAGGCTGCTGAGATCCCTGAGTGAGTGACTAACCTACGGAGGGAGCACGCAGGGAAGAGCTCCTGGGGATACCCTGCATGAGGCTGGTGTGGAGTAGGGATGCAACTCAGTACCCTGGCAGTACCCCAGCAGCAGGCAAAGCTGCAGCTAAAGCTAGCTCAGGCAGAGCCAGTCACCCTGTCCTGAGCACCCTTGCCCCCAGCACACCAGCCCTAAGCACCTTTGCTGCTGCAGGTGGGCGCAAGCAGCGGCCGTCGCTGGAGGATGAGAAGTTGCCAGAGGAGAGCTCCAATCTTGACCCATTAATCACCTGAGCAGCAGCGTGGCCAGAGCACGGTGCTGGAGGCCCATGCAGACTGGAGGTAGGAACCTTGCCTCTTTGGTGGAATATTCCAGCAAATGGGAGGTTGCTCAACATTAATAATGTAAAATAAGTTTCAAGCAGCAAAGCCAAATGGTGTGGTTTGCATGCAAGCATGCATGTTGCTGGGGGCTGGAGCAGGGTCAAGGAATGTAGCAGCAGATTCCACCCATCTTTGGGGCAGGAAGGGATGTGGGAAACAGTGAGACCCTGACTCATGTTTTCACAGCTAGAAATGTGTGTCTCACCAATATCCATGAATCTGGCTTGGAAAGGTGCTGCAGGCTTGAGCAGCACGAGG